CGGGCGGCTCCATCCCGGCGGCGGCCCCGGGCCCGGCGGGTCCACCGCTGCCAGGCCCGGCCGCCTCACCGTCTGCGGTGCGGCCCGCCCGCCGCCCCAACTTTGGAAACTTTGTGTGTGCGGCCAGCTCCGGGCCCCAGGCGCCGGCGCTTGAGGCAGACGGGGCAGGCAGGCCTCGAGCCCTGGGTGCCCGCCCCGAGGGGTGCTGAGCCGTCAGCATCTCCGAGGCCCGGGGCTTTGGCGCGGTGAGGAACGACGGAGTCAGGGTGCCCGCATAGATGAGCGTGCTCGCCCTGGCTGGTGGAGGTGGGTTTTTGAGCCATTATTTAAAAGTTTATACTGAGTCATTGCTCTGCAGATGAATGACTGATTCATAGTCGGAGAGCTGCAGAGAGGCTGGAAGGCAGGCGGTTCTGGGATCCAGCTGGGGTCGAATGCACACCTTCCACCTTCGATTAACACCAAAGGTCAGAGTGGGCTCCCCCACGGGCGAGCCATTAAAACGATCCCTGCCTCGGGGCTTGCAGGTTCTGGAGGCGCCAGGCTATGGCTCACGTACGTTTCGCCACGTTTCCACACTGTCATCACCACCGATTGGGGACGCGGGGTATCAGGATTAGACCTTTAGTGAAAATTCTGCGTGGAAAATTCTTTACCTTTAATTTAAAACGGCTACAACACGCAAATGGGTGAAGTGCTGTGGACGTGCTCTGAAATCGAAGAAGCATTCAGATTAATGATCGGTTGAAGGAACTGATTTTATTTTCACGGCGTTTGTACTGAGCTTTGACTCAGTTTTGAGAATGAAATAGAAGGGTGTGTGTGTGTGTATGTGTGTGTGTGTGGTGTATGTGTGTGTTACGTACACACATTTGTAAGTAAGCTCTTTTTTGTGGAGTCTTAAAGGGTTTATCGAGGGTTGTCATCTTAATTTACATTCACAGCATACAACTGAAGAGGGGCCATAATTTTTTTTTGGTAGCATTTCTGTGACTAGGTACACAAGTGAAATCTTTAGAAATGCTGTTTTGTGTTGTATGTAAAATGCTTGCGTGTAGAAATGTTCAGGTGGACCCTCAGTCAGGTTTTAAAACCTTCTGGTATTTTTTTCAGATCTTGAGAAATGGCCTGTTGAAAATACTGCATCATTGTAGGGTGTCTAGCAAGATAGTGTACAGCCATCCTTTACTCAAAGGAGAGGAAATGTTTCCCTTTTCGCCATATTGTGACATCTTAAATATTAAGAATTAGTCTGAAGGTGAAAATTCTCTGGCTAGAGCAAATTGAACGTTTAAAGTGTGGAAACCGGGCATTTTATCACAGGAGTCAGAAGACCCTGTGTGTAGGGTCTGGTGATACATCCTGGCAGACCTTGGGGTCCAGCCTCACAAATTCAAATCAGACCTTATCACGGACAAGGTTTAAGATGTAAGGTGTCTTACCCAGACACCATCTGTTCCAGCTGTCACAATGCAGAAGTCGGGGAATCAAAGAGCTGATCAGGGAGAATTCCAGCATTTTTTAAGCAAGACATTCATGTGAATTTTTCTGTGAGGGAAAAGAAGACCAGTTATTTTTTCTTGGATGCTATCCATTCTCTTTGGAATTAATAAGATGGCCCCAGTGAGGAGGCTGCAGAGACATTCCATTGGAAACAGGCAGTAGCAGTAGCCAGTTGTCTCTGCTGCTCTTGCTTTGAAGAAAGTCCTTCATTTACCTGGGATCTCTGAATTGATGCTTGCTTTCCCTGTGTCTGAGATTTTTCTCTAAACACTTTTGCTAGAATCCCTTATAATGTTTCAGTGTGAATGAGGAAGGGCTTTCTGAGGTATTGTCAGGATACATATGCTAATGAGCTGGAAGGCTGAGCATGATTTACCATTCCCTTAAAACCCTCCTTTAGAATGCTGAAACTACCTCAGGAGACATGAAACTGTCACTGTGGTGTGGCAAGCCTGAGTGAGCTAGCTCAAACACACAAAGGAAATTGCATTAAATTCCCCCATCTTTGTTTTCTCATCTCGTATAGTAAGACTCTCCAGACAGCAAATGAGCTAACCTATCAAATATTATGCAATAGCTCAATTTCCCCTCAATAGTCAGTCTCAGAATTATTATCAGAGAAGTCTCAGAACCCAAGGCCATAGTCTGATTTTGTGGAATCGGAACCCCAGTATGCATCTTTGCAAGTATTTACAGAAGAAAAATTAGTTTTTTGTTGGTATTTGGGTTCATGTATATATATATTTATTACATTTCAGAGGGAAGGGAGCTGAGAAGACCTAATGTGAGGATGGAGGTGAGGCTGAAGGATTTGAAAGGTGACCAGAGAGGGGCAGCCGAGGCCTTGTGAGTGAGACTGTGCTTAGGCTTAGAGCCAGAGTGAGGGCAGCCCAGAGGCCTGCAGACACGAAGGTGGTAGAGAGGTAGCTGGGGATTGGTGCGGTCCCAGAGGAGCTGACAGAAAAGAAAATTCAATTTCAAAAAGAGCAGAAGAAAAAAAAAAAAGAAAAGAAAAAGAAAAAGAGTAGAAGAAACATTAAATATGTTTGTATAATTTTTATGATAATTAATAAAAATATAAAATGCCTTTTGATTTTGGAAAGCCTTTATTGTTTTGCATATTCCAAGAAAGATCTGGGGTGACAGGTCAACCTGGAAGAAGAAGGTGAGGTTCCTATCAGATATGAAACCTTTGTTTGGTGAAACTTGTTGGTGCTTACAGACTTGGGGTCACCTGTCAGGGAGCAGGATGTGAGTACTGAGGTGACTGTTGGCTTCTGGCCCTCCAGAAGTCAGGCTGACATCTTGCTGCATTCAGACAAGCACATTATTAACTGTGACTTGGGAGACTTGCTCATTTAATTAATGTTGAGTTAATGTGCCCTGAGTTCCCATAATCTAGTTACAGTCCACTAGGATGAGTAAGTCACAGCAGCTGCTTTTGGAGCCATGATCTCTGGAAATCTGGGGCATCTGGGCCCCGGCGCACGGTGAAGGGCAGTGCCAGACTCACCTAAGATTTGACTGAGACACCAGCACAGGAACTTTCCACTGGAAGAGCGAAGAAAAAAAAATCAAGTCACTGTCCCACTCTTAGAGAGTTGATTCTCTATCAGGAAAAGCAAGGAAAGTTGTCCACTTTTGTAGGAGAAAAGGAATTAATGAGTTGTGTACAGAATTCTGCAAATGGGATGTGTGTGTGTATTATTGTAAGGGAAAAGTTCCTGGCTGCCCAGACTAGTCAGAGAGGTGTCTGGAAAAGGCACCCCAGTTGGCCATCATGGCCTTAGGAAATCTGGCCCCACTCCTCGGGGGCCTGGGGCCTGAAAATGGCAGTAGAGGACCTCTCCTACCATGTGAGGTGAGACCTGTTAGCTTGCTGCCTTGTTGCTCCCTGATGGTCTGTCTATAGGATGTTAGTAGTACTGGTAGTTAGAGTTTCTCAGATGTTCTAGCCTGTGCTGCCCTTCCACTCTTACAGGCTCTTGTGTGATTTGGAGCTGAGTGGTCTGGCTGCCTCTGACTGAAGGATGTGGTTTATGGAAGGGATGGAGCAATGGCACCAGCTAGAGCCATACAACGTCGCCATGCAAAGTCGCCATGCCTCCTGCTTCTCTTTGTACGTCAATAGTTCTCAACTTTCCAGATGCTGTGACTGTTTATAATATAGTTTCTCACATTGTGGTGACCCCCAACCATAAAATTATCTCATTGCTACTTTGTAACTGTCATTTTGCTGCTGTTATGTATTATAGTGTAACTATCTGATATGCAGAATATCTGATATGCCACTCCAAAGGGGTCAGGACCCACAGATTGAGAACCACTGTTGTAGGTAGAAAATCTGAAAAGGCCTCGGTGGTGGTGAAGACAGAACACATCTCTCGCAGATGCACCACTCTGCTCCTTACCGATGGGCCTGAAACATTTTAGTTCTCAAGAAATGAAATACAGGCCACTGTGTCTCAGTTTTTAAAATTATTTTATTTATTATTATTATTGTATGTGTATGATGTGTGTGTCTCTGTGTGTGTGTGTGTGTGTGTGTGTGTGTGTGTGTAGAGTGGGTGCGGGACACTTTGGGCATGTAGTGGTCAGAAGTTAACTTTGTGGAGTCAGTTTTCAAAGTCACATGGGTTTTGCTGATTGAGCCCAGGTGGTTAACATCTTTGGATGGCAAGTGTCTTTATCGGCTGAGTGTCTCACAGTCCCTAACGATACATTTTATGATTTCATTTTTAAAAGATTTGCTTCGTGTTGATTTAAATCATTTGAAAATTCAATAGAGGGTGGTAAAATGGCTCAGCAGGTAAGGGGGCTTGCTGCCAAGCCTGATGACCTGAGTTTGATCCCTGGAACTTCTGGTTGAGGGAAAGAGTTGATGGAAGGAGCGGATCAACTTTTGCAGATTGCCCTCTGATCTCCACACATATGCCTCTCACCTCCACAATAAATGTAAAGGGAAAAAAAAAGTGGAAGCTATTTGGTAACTTCTCAGGAGGCCATTTTCCTGAGAAAGGGTATCAGGAACTGCTGTTCTGATATCCTAATTTCTTCTCCAGTTCAAACACTGATTATACATCCAGACCATTGAAGCCATATGAATGGGAAGCCTGGTATCCTTTAGTGAGAAAGCTTAAATTGAATAACCAAGTGGAATGATACAACCTTTCCGACAGTAGTAAGTGGCATTCCAGTGGTGAAATACATCTCCAGGAGTCATGATGATTTTGATTTGTTTTTGAGACAGGTTCTCAGGCTGCCCTTGAACTTGGGATCTTTCTGCCATGGCCTCCTTAAGTGCTGGATGAGCCATTATGCCTGGTGAGTCAGAATACTTTTTTTAATTTTTTGGAGATAGATATGTGTGTGTGTGTGTGTGTTGCCCTAGCTGTTCTGGAACTCTGTAGACCAGGATGGGATCAAACTCACAGAGATCTGCCTTCCTCTGCCTCCCGAGTGCTGGGATTAAAGCTGTGTGCCACCACTGCCAAACTGAGTCATGATAGTTTTGAAGAGGTTTTCCAAGGTGAATGTTTGCTCGGTCAGGCTAGTGTGCATTTGGAGAGCTGCATGCACAGGAGATAGGTAGGAGTTTGTGATGCAGTTCTTCTTCCTCCAAGGACCAGGCACATGGCAAGTGCTTGGGGAATATTCTCAAATTCTCTAAGGTGGGAGGGAAGAGAGGCCAGGCCAGGCCAGGCCACAGGGTTTCACTGGGCTTTGAGTCTGTGTTGTAGTTGGCTAAACCTAGTGCTTCCTTTGGTCATTTTCCTGGATGCTACTCTCTCCTCCTGCAGCTCTGATACATTAGAGGGAGTTACACAATGGGAAACGACTACTTTTTGTTATTCTTGTTGTTTTGAGACAGGACCTCTCTATTTAGCTCTGCCTATCCTGAAACTTGCTGTGTAGACCAGGCTGGCTTCAAACTCACAAGAGATCTACCTGTCTTTGTCTCTGC